ACTAGAGGGCTGGTGAGGACATGAGAAGCCAGTTCTATTTCTGCTCTTGCTGGGGTTGGGTCAGGGTAGGGGGCTGGGACTGGTGCTTCCTGGGATGCTGGAGGACTGCAAATTGCTCATTTTATCTCTGTGGAGTGGACTGAAGTTACTCTAACATGAGCTTGGTAACAGCCCTGAGTTAACCCTTGCCTGAAATGGTGCAACTTTGAGATGCTCAGAGGGCACTTAGCATGAGTTAACAAGCTTTAATGTGTCAGTGCTAGTGTTTTAAGTGTCCTTAATATGGTTTACCTGTAACATGTAACTTCACTTTAAGTTCCTTACTTCTACCTGATAGAATCAGAGCTGCTCAGCTATTTCCATCATGCTCTAATCTGCTAATAGGTAATGGAGATTCTCTTTAGCTTCAGTAGTAGAAGGGACCATACTTTTGAAGCAAAAATTTAAGCTGTCCCCTGGCTTATAAGTGTAGTGCTGTATGGCCACAGTATGACATACAAAGTTGACTTAATTAATGGGAAGACATTCCTCAACTCTATTCAGCACTGATGAGGCACCCCCTTGAGTACCGTGCCCAGCTTTGGACACCATGCTTCAGGAACATTGTGGACAAATTGAAGAGAGGAGGAAAGCAGCAAAAATAATTAGAGCTCTGGGAAACATGACACCTGGGGAAAGACTGGAAGAAGTAGGATTATTTAGTCAGGAGAAGAGAAGGCTGAGGGGGGATTGGATAACAGTCTTCAAATACAAAAAGGGCTGTGATAAAGAGGATGGAAATTGATTATTTCCTGTGTCCATGTAGGACAGGAAAAAAGTAATGGGCTTAAATGGCAACGAGGGATATTAAGTTGGATATTAAGGAGCTCTTTCCAACTTTGAGAGTTGTTAAGCACTGGAACAGAAAACCTAGAGAGGGTGTGGAATATCTGTCACGGGGAGTTTTTAAGTGCAGGTTAGACAAACATTTAGCTATGATGGTTTAGACACAAATAATACTGCCTTGCACTGAGGGTGGGGCTAGATGCTCTCCTGACATTGTTTCCAGCCTGTTTTTCTGATTTCTACATTCAAATGGTCCCCTTCTATATTTTCAACCAGGAAGCTGTAGAGTCCTACATCATCTGCTGCCACAGAGAAAGAGGGACAATTATGGAGTTAAAATGGCAAGAAAAGTTGATAATATGAACTCTGACTATAGTGTCTAATTAGTCTCTAATTCTCATATGAACCTGGCAGCTTACAGACCAGTGGCCCATCTAATCAGGTGATGAATCTCCAGCATCAGCTGCTAGCACCGTCTTAGGGAAAAGTATAAGAAATTCAGAAGTGGACAACTATGAAAAACTTGTCTCTTAAGAAACATTTCATCCTGACCTCACACCTCCAGCTATGGTTGCTGTGATCCCTAAGACAGACAAGTTTGTGTCTTTTCTGATTTCATTTTTAGATCCTATTTGATGCAGCTGTGGCTATTCTCAATCATTACAGAATACTTTATCAATGCAGAACTATTGTTACAAGATAAACTGAGTGTTTAAGAGGTTCTCAAGCACCATTTCCCATATGTGGCTGTTTTAAATCTTGGCACTCTCAAAGCTTGCTAAGAAGCTTGATAAAAAAGCACTTCCTGCCATTAGTAAAGCAGAAACAGCCTGGTGGGAGTAGCAGTTGAATAAGGTAATTCTCTCCAAGGCTGGTGTCTCACAGGGAAGAGGGAGTCAGGAATGGAGGTTGCGAGGACCTTAGCTACAGAGCCTGGAGAGGTGGAATGGAAGGGCTAAGTGGAGACAGGTGGAAGCATGTTAGAGCACTGTGAAGTAGTCTGAAGCTGATGGAGGGCAGCTGCTGCCAATAAAGGGTCTCAGGATTGAAACTTGGGCTTTCCTTCCACTAATATTTGGTAGTTTGGGAAGGGAGCTGTTGTGACTGAAGGGTAAGAAGTCTAATAGGCTCTTGTGACATGGGGCAAAGGGCTGAGGTTGAGTGATGTGTAATTAAGGGATAAAGGAATTCAGAAAATCATTCCCATTCCTGTGTGAAGAATCTGGGAGCATCTGCAAATGAATGAGGAGAACATGGCTCCCCAAAGGCAGAAGGGCTTGCTTTGCACTCTTGTTTTGGCCTGTGGAGTGAGTTGCTCTAACTGGCTGGGCCATGTGAATCTGATAAGGTAAGCAACCCCTGAGCTATCTTCAGACTTCCTCCAGTGATGTGAGGCAGCATGGTTTCTGCTAGTCTGCAGGTGGGAAAACTGAGGCATAGAGTAGTTACTTCACCTGCAACAAGTTTGTACAGCAAGCTATTGGCAAACCAGAATTGTAACCAGGTGTTTCAATCTTCAGTTTCTCTCTGAGTCCACTAATGTAACACCTTTTCTTTGAACAACTGCTTCTCCTCTGCCCATGCCCTTAATGGAGTTCACAGAGCTACTGTTCTCCTTTAACAAACAGGAAAAGTCTCATGAAATAAGAAACCCTCAAAGAGCTCCGAATCTGATCCTGATGTCAGGCAAGCCATGCCTGTGGCACCAGTCACCTCTGGCTTGATCTGACTATCTCAGAAAAGGTAGAACAGCTTTGGCTGTTCTCAGCTAGCACGTACTGCTATCAGACTAACTATAAATGGCTGACCAGGTTCTGTTCTGACAAGTCCTTCCCAGTTCAGACCTTCCTTCCATTGCTATCATTTGGTGGTGGTAGTTGTGCGGTGAACTTCATGTGGGGTGCAAGATGCCATTTGGCTGAGGCAGGGAGGGCTTGCGCCAGATGTTTGCAGTGGTGGCTGTGATGCCTCACTTGGGGCAGGCAGCGGCTCCTCCCTGAGGTGAGGCAAGGCAGGGATGGAGGCTGGGACTGGCAGCTGGCGTGGGCCCTGATGCTGGGGAGTGGAGCACTTCCCTAGAGCCGGCTGAGCCTGCGCCAGGCCCCTGGCCCCCGGCTCCCACCTCTGGCTCCAGCCTCCGGCCCCTGGCCCCAGACCCTGGCCCTCAGCCTCCTTTGGTAAGTGTCCCATGCCAGACCGAGGCGGCGCACTCATGGACCGCTGCTCCTTAGAGGGAACATTGGACGCCTGCCCCCTGGAAACTAGCCTCAACTCCATTAGCTTCCTTCTCAGGCTGGTTCAGACTACAAACTTCACCTGGAAGATACTGTCTTGCAGTTTCCCCCCTGACAGTGAGATCCTCCTCAGGCTGACATCTTGAGATGACCAAAAAACCTTGAGTTCTGCACAGTGGGAAGCAGCTGCCAATCTTCACATACCTGGCTCGCACAATTTAGACAAAAAGCCATCAAAGGGAAAATGCAAAATGAAGGCAGACTGCAGGGGCAGGATCCATGCAGAAACATGGCCCATCTCTGGAGTCAGAAACGCATAGGCTTTACTGAGAAGTTTGCAGTGTGTTTTTTGTGGTGAGTCAAGATCCTGTATCAAATGGTGGAGAGGTTAAAAAGAAGTGATTTAAAGTTGAAGTCAATCTGTCCATGGTGTAGCCCCTCTCTTGCTGTGTAGGTTGAGGCAGGCAAGGGAGAGGAAGTGTGGGTACCCAGTGGTGGACAGAGACAGGGATGTGCAGGGGATGCTAAAAGCTCTCCTGCCATTGCAGATGGGACAGAATGGGAGGGCAGCCAGCTTGCCTCGTGATAATCAGGCGCTCGTTAAGGATTCTAATCAGGCAGAAATATTTTCCCCTCAGCTCATTACAAACTGTAATGAGGTCACAGCTCTGGGTCCCGGCTGCTTTTTCTCCTGCTGGAAATAACTAGTGCATCTGCTGGAGCCTTTGGTAGCTTGTTTGTTACGACATGTGAGTGATATGCCAAGGGGAGGGGTGGAGAGCAGCCAGCCTGCAACCTTAAGGGAGGGGGAGCCTTGCTTCTCTAGGCAATGCCAAGGAGGGCCAAGGCTCTCCTGTGGTTGCCTACGGCATCTCTGGCATTGCTCAGCTTCCCCAGATGAGGCCCTTCTGTTACTTGCATGCTGAGATTATTGATTAAGCCTATTTGAAAGAAGGCTAAGGGGTGACTGGGAGAACCTGTTGGTCCCCAGAACTGGTAGTGGCGGTGATAATGGTATATTTGGTGGTACCCTCTCTCCAAAGCTGTGGTGGCTTTTGAACTGTGGTGAGACTCTTCAGGATAGGAAGTGAAGAAGAGAGAACATATTAATCCAGTTTGGCATTGGCCCTCTGGAGTGCTCTGCATTTATGCAGGGATCTCTGGTTTCAGGTTCTTTTCTGTAATCTAGCAAAAGAGGGTGAGAAGGGGCTTCAGGAGGGCATCTGGTCCAACCCCCTGCTCAAGGTAGAAATGTCCCTGTCTAAACGATCCCAGACAAATGTTTGTCTAATTTGCTCTTAAAAGACCTCAAATGACAGTTTCCCAGCCTCTCTAGGAAATCTGTTCTAGTGCTTACCCACCTTCATAGTTATAAAGCTCTTATTAACTGCTGAAAGTGTCCTAGCTTGCAATATGATGAGCCCATTACTTCTTGTCTTGTCTCCTGTGACCACAGGGGAAAAAATTGATTTCCACCCTCCTCTTAGAACAACTTTTTATTTTTTTGTATATGAAGACTTCTCAAATCCCTCAGTTTCTTTTCTCCAGACTAAATATCCCAGTTCTTTCAACTTTTCTCAAAGGTCATATTTTCTACACCTCTCCTCATTGTTGTTGCTCTGCTCTTGACTCTCTTCAATTTATGCACATCCTTCTGGAAGTACAGTGCCCTAAACTGGACACAGTAGTACCCAATGTGAAGCCTCACCAGTGCTGAAAAGAGCAGAGGAATCGTTTCTTGTCACTTCCATGTGATGCTGCTGTTTTAATACATCCTATTATGCTATTAGCTTTTTTGCATTATTGTTACACTGTTGGCTTATATTCAACTCCAGCTGAGTTGGAAAAACTCCAGAGTAGAGAGAAGCAAGGGACAGGAGAAGGGAGGGGTGAGGCAGGGGGCAGTAATAGGAGCTGGCATTGTTTCCATGGGGCCAGGAGGTAGGCTGGTGAAGAGCTGAGTGGCCCAAGCACACCCAGGAGGATCTGAGAAACAAAAGACTTCCGAAGTCCAGGTAAGGCCCTGCAGCAGCAGAAAGGGGTACAAGAGGGGGAGGAACTTTGCAGCGAGAGTTGATTCTCTTGTGCGGTGGGAAGTCTGTTGGTGAGGTCCATGATGCTGGGTATAGGTTCTGCCATCTTTGCTGCTCTGCCCAACTGCCCCCTCCTGGGTGTGTGGTGAGCACCGCCTGGAAGCTGGGCCTCATTACAATGCCTCTTGTCAGGCACCTAAGCTTTGAGGCATCAAATGTCACTATTGAAAGATGTCTTTCAACACTTTCTGGAGCTGCTGCACCCAACATGACAGGGGTGGCAAAGCTGTGGCATGCATGCCACAAGTGGCACGAGCAGCTTCTGTGTGGCAGGAAGGATTGCAAAATGAAGGCCATTGCAGGGGTAGGATCTGTGCAGAAACATGGCCCATCTCTGGAGCCAGAAGCTCACAGGCTTTACTAGGAAGTTTGCAGTGATTTTTGGTGGTGATTCAAGGTCCTCCATCAAATGGCGGAGAGGTTAAAAAGAAGTGACTTAAAGGAGTCGTCAGTCAGTCCATGGTGTAGTCCCTCTTTTGCTGTGTAGGTTGAGGTAGGCAAGGGGGAGGAAGCGTGGGTACCCAGTGCCAGACAGAGACGGGGATGTACAGGGGATGCTAAAAGCTCTCCTGCCATTGCAGATGGGACAGAATGGGAGGGCAGGGAGCAAAAAGAAGAGCAGCACCTGTGGCAGGCGGAAGGGAACAGCACGCAGGGAGGGTGTGGGTCTAATTTGTGGCAAGCCTGCCAAAAAGATTGGCCCCCGCTGCACTACAGGTTATGCTGGGTCACCCCCAGCACTGCTTGCACTGCACTGGAACATGGCACCACTCCCTCCACTCCTGGCAGCACAGCTCCCCTCAGCTCTGCACTGGCACATTGGTTCATCAATCTGACTTGAAAAAGTGCCACCCGCTGGCTCTCTGACCTCACTACCTTTCCCTCTCAGAAGACTTTTCTGTTCCCTGGGCTCCTGACTGAATGGATTGGCAGAATAATGCACAGTCCTCAATAGAAAAGGCTCAGGCAGATTTAAAGCATCACCTAAATTCATGAGTCAGCATTAACTATGTTGCAGTAAGCAGGAATTGACACTTGTGCTGAGGTTAATACCAAGCCATATTGACCAAGAGAGGCTGCTCCCCATACAGGAATCCAGGGCAAGTCTATATTTATCACTAAAGCAACCTGTGGCCTCACTAATCCCTCAGTGTCAGACACTCAATAACCCTTCAGAGATTCCTGTGGATTGGAAAAAAAGCATTTCTTTGCAGAGGCAACTGTCTCTTGCATTTCAACTGCAAAGGTCATGATCAAGGTGGAAGGACAGGCCCTGCAGTGACTGACATTTTGTGGCAAAATAACTCCTAAACAGGCCCTTGTATTTGTCAGCTTGCCACCTATTTTGTCACGAGAAAATTTAATAATGCCTCTAAGTCATACAGAGTCTATTAAATATAGGGTCGAAACAAAAACAGTGTTTCCTCTCTGAGCATTTCTGAATCTGTTAACTAACCTGCATCTGTTGCCAGTGGCTGCTGCTGCTGTGGCTGGAGAGGCTGCTTTACCGAGAAGGAAATAGATACGACTTTTTTTTTTTTTTTTTCATTTGCTGTTGTTAATTTCAAGGCCCACTAGAAACACAGGAAACAGACACAACTACTGTGACAAGCGCCAGATTGGGGAGAGAGGAAGCAGGGTGTGGAGAAGATATTTGCTATGCAAGGAGAGTTTGTAAACAGCCAGAAAGTGAGTATTAAAACTGAAAATCACCCTCAGGCTTCATTGCTGCTTCTCCCTGTCTCGCAGGGAGGCAGGACTTGCACGCACCCTGGGGATGTCTGCTGGTCATCCCAGAAGCAGAAATCTCTGGCCACCACAGCCTTCCTGGAAACCCTTCCTGCAGGCTTTGGCCACTCTGGCTGTAGAAAAGTGAGACTGGAGACTCAGCTGGCAGAACTGCTATCTTCAATGCCATTGTCTTCTCCCTTTCTCTCCCGGTATGCAGTAGCAAGGGTACTGGGTCCTATCCTGCCCATTCCTACATGGCCCTTAGAGAAAGCACTCAGCACTAACCTATGTTAAATCAAATTAACCTTTGTTTACCTGCAAGTATGTCTTGTCTATGCACAACCTTTGATTAGGAACCTCATTTGGCTGTCTAGGGTATGTCTACCCAGAGGTGGCAGCATGTCCTGAGCACTGCCTGCCTGCTTCTGCCCACACATGCCAAACCTGGAAATATGCTGGTAAGACTGGGGAAGAGCCCAGAGCAGCATCTCCTCCCAAAAACTTGGGAGACTGCTGTCTAGAGAATGGCTATGGGGATGCCCCTGGAATGGCCATGCTGGCACATCTCTTGTCTGGAGTGCAAGTAGGTGGGCAGAAGTGCTGTGGAGCTTCCCTCCTGGGACATATTGCTGCTGCAGTGCAATGATAATCTTGGGTTGCAGCCAGTGATCTACCTTGAAATGGGGTTTGCAGTGGGTTCGTTTGCTTTATGGTTCTTGAGGACTTGTTCTGCCAGTTGTTACTCCTTGTCTTCATACCTGTATCCTCCATCACTCCATAGTCATCTTAACCAAAAGTCACCTCTGTACACAGACAAGCCAGGAATGCCTGTTTGGAGGGCAGGTGGTAGTGAGGTCACATATCCATGATAGCTTCCCTTCTCTCCACCACCCCCATTTTTGCATAGAGCCCCTCCTGGTCTTAACTGTTCTTCCAAGAGCTGCAAGTTCCTCAGCTGTAGAAGAGTCGCAACAATGCAGATGTCTACAGGATGCTGTCAGAGCTAATGAAGAGTGGGAGTACTGCCGGAGCTCTTCACAGGGCTGAGTCAAAACTAAGGCGCTCCAGGGAAAGTACCTGAGGACAAGGGACCAGAGCAAGACCTCGGATGATGTTGTAATACAAAGAACTGGGGCACATTTTTGCAAGAATTGCCACAGCTGTACCCAAGAGTGCAATGTCCAATAGCTTTCTATGGGACACCAAGATGGCATGGCTGCTACCCAAGAACCCTTGATCAAGAGTACCTTAGCTCTCTTGCGCTCAGGTGTGCCATGGGATCTGACCATGAAGGGGTTTAGCAGGGCATCCATGAACTGTAGAACCTGATAAATATGGAGATTATCAAAGGAACCCATGCAGGCAGTCAAACTGAAACTGCCATGGAGCATAACTTTACCACCAGTCAGCCTGGAAGTACTGCAGAGGGGAGGGCAGTGTGTGGGCATTACCACATTGCTACATTTTCTAGGTAGTGGCTGGCTGCTGCCATGGTGGACAGAGCTAGAAGCTTCTTAAGCTTGGTATTTAACTCCTGCCCCACACCTGGTGTACTTACAGCAAATGGCACATGCACTAGAGTCTTAATTTTAATTCCTTTAATATAACAAATCCCTCAACTGTTGGCTGTACTTGCTGCTTCCATACCCCACTTTGAGAGGCTTCTTTCTCATTCTCCAGACACCCACCAGAGTGCCCTCACCTCCTGTTCAAGATGTTGGCACCTTAGGGATTAAAAAATTCAAATGCATTGCCTGGCAAGCATGTATATTGTAGCAAGTGAGAAGGAAAGAGACAGCAATAGAAAAGGCATGTCGGCTCAGTTTCATTAATGCACTCTGCTTTAGTAAAGCTAAGATTTCTTGAGGTAAATGGTCCAGATCAGGCTACAGAGATGCTTCAAAATGCACAGAATCTTAAGGCAATTGTTCCAAAGCCAAATGCTGCAGAATTTGATTAATTTTGCAGTGCACTTCGTGATGATCAGTAGATGTCAGAAAGGGAGGAGAAGGCAATGAGTGCCTTCCGTTTTGGAATGCGTAATGCAGTGCAGCTGTCCAAGACCTGCTCCTATAGATAAATGTTCCCCTTCTATGTCTGTACCCGCTTGAATAGGGAGAAGCCCTGTGTTAGTAAATAAGTGTGAGGTACTTCTAGGCTTGCCCAGCAAGTTTCTGAGAGTTGTTTTTTTTTTCTATGGCTCCTGGGGCCTTACCTGAGGTTAACATACTTCAATGTAAAGACAGCTTCTAGGTTTGCATATGAAACTACTAACTGTCCAGTAGCTGTCCCCTCGACAATCCCCCGGACACTAAGAACCTGAAAAGACACCTAAAAACCAGTTCAGTCCCTTGCTTGCCCGAAGCCAGCACAGCTACCCACGTGTCGGGCCTTTGCTATAGGGGGCCATGTAAGAGGGAAGCAACCTGTTTCCTGGAACATTCTTAAATGTTCAAAAGGGCAGCCTTGGAAAGGGGCCTGATTCAGGCAACAGACAGGCAAACTACTATTTGCAACAAGTTCAAGCATTGTCCCTCGATGTTCTTGTTTCCTGCAAACTGTAGAGAATACACAATATAGGAACCACTGTTCCAGTCAACCAGTCTAATTACAGGTCTAACTACAACAACTGTCCCCTTCCCCCCCTCCCCTTCCCTCCCCCAGGAGTTGAAGGAGGAGAACCCTTTCAAGTACATTATTTACAACACTTGTAAGAGCTCCTGAGTTTGGCCTTGCCACACTTCCATTGACCTTATATTTGCACAATATTCTGTGTAATTGTTTTTATTCAAGAAGCAATGGACTACCCATGGCTCTGGTTGTTGGACTAAAATGAGTTTTTTGAATTAATTTGGCAGAATGATTTCAATTGAGTTATGTTTCAAATGATAAACTCTCCCCTCCTCCCATAAGATCAAACTACAAACATATACAGTATCCACAACCACTTCCCTGTCCTCACCATTAGCAACACGTTGCAGCCCTGACTCTGGGGCACTTTGCTAAAGCACCTTCTTTGGCTGTCCCTTATTCTTGGAAAATCTCCCTGTCTTCTGCTCCTGGCCATGCTCCAGGATCACTCCCTTGCTCTCACAGATGTGCAAAATAGAGCATGCATTTTTGATGTGTGGCACATGACAAGAGTCGATGTCCAGCTTGATCCTCTCTTCCACAGCTTCTAGTCATCAGTCTTCCAGAAACACACTCCCCTCATTCAGGGTAAACTTACATCAGTCCTTTCTCTGGTCCAAGCACCTGGTGATATAAATCATAAACCAAAGAAAGAGAGGGTAGGCTGTCTCCTAGAAGGACAGGAGGAATCACAACTCTATTAATATCCACACTGGTGCACTCCTCTTCCATTAGCTATATTGCCATGCCTTCCAATGCCTTATGAAACAGCAGAACCACTTGCCTGCTAAACCAAATGAATGTGCACCATCCAATTTACACTCATGACTCAAAACTGCAGCACTCAACAGCTTGTCCCCTATGCCACCTGACAGCAGTTTGAAAATGGCACTGGCAAAATGCATGGATACAAGAAAAGAGGAATCATGGGGATTTTGGTTTGGCCCCCTGGGCCAGAATTTCTGTACTGTCCAGTATACATCCCATAAGGTGCTGTGAGAAAAAATAGAGCTTGGAACTGAGTGGCTGATCATGGCTTCACAAGCTATCTGCCCTGAATGTCGAGTGGTGATTCTCGAAAGCAAAGAGCTGTGTGGGTGCTCTTCATTAACAAAGGAAGTTCCATAAACTGGCATAGCAAAGTAGTAGGGATGTGCTTGAGTTCATGATAGGTAAATTGCTTCACTTAGAGAAACAGGTCTAGAAGTTCTTCTGTTTCCCATGTACAGACTCTCTCTTTCTCTTTCTTCCCTCTCCTCTGTTTAGCCATGGATCCATGAAAGGGTTAACCTCTGGTGAGTCAAGCTCTCCTGATTTAAAAGAGCTGCAAACTAGTGGCTTTTAGTCCCTGCCCCAAAATGGCAAGTGATACCATGGATGAATTGGGGATGATTTTTCCACTTTCAAACTCCTGCCTTTCATTGCATGGCCTACTCCTTTCTCTTGCTTTCAAATGCATGGCCGCCTCCTCTGTGCAGAGCTTCCACAGTGATTTGCTTGAGTCTCAAGCTCCACCTCTCCAGCCACATGTCCATAGCATCTTGCTGTCATTCTCTGCTCGTCTTTGGCTTTGAGACTACTGTTCTTTACATCAACCCTACTGGGGAAAACCAGTGCTGATTTGCCACTTGTACTTGTCTCTTTGGATATTATCATACCTTGGCACATGCCCTCAGGCATCAACAAACCCCACTGCTTCAGCTTCCTGCCTTGGAATGGCACCTTGTCCACGTAATCTGTGGGCCCTTCCTCCGTGCTGCAGCCTGGCCCTGTGGTACGCAGGCCTGCATATATTTTATGGTAGGATACGGCCCACTAACCCCAATAGTAAAGGCTTCTCTCAGGATGTGGCACAGTACAATGCTTCATCCACTTAGGGCATTAGTAGAACTAAGCCTGATGAGAGCTGAGGAAGTTTCACTAGCTCTTGAGTGAGATTTTTTTTCACTCTCTAAAGGACTGACCTCAGACCCATCCTTGTTAAATAGTGTGTTCACATTAGACATGGCCCCTCCAAGCCAGAGCTGAGGACAGTAGCGTAACTAGGGGTGGCTGAGGATGGTACTACTCCTGGGTACCAATTTAGGGGAGGTGCCATAGTGGCAGCCCTGGGGAGTCTGCACGGTGGCAGCAGGCAGTGTGGGGGGAACCTGTGCTGCAGCAGCAGCAGCACCAAGTCACAGGGAGTCAGGGCACCAGCAGCTGTGGTCTTTGAGACTCTGGTTAAGACTCTCCAGTGCTCAGCACCATTGTCCCCTTCCCCAATGCTCTCTGGCATCACTTCCCAGGGGACCACAGTTGCTAGTTAGGTCTCTGGTTGAGGCACATTGTTAGGGGAAAATTGCCCTGGCACTGCCCATGCTTTATGGGTGAAGAGAGGCTTTTAGTTTTCACACTTCTCAGTGCAGTACCTCTCAGCATCAGGATAGCGCTTATCTGTGAGCAAGACCTGTCCTGACAGCACACTGTGGACACTGAGAGTACAAAAGCTTGTGTGCTGTTTTGCATGCATGTTTTCAGAAACTGTGCCTTACTGACCTCTCTTGTAGACCCAGTATCAGAGTCATTTTGCCAAAAACCTACCCAGATATAATACCTACTTCTCTTCTTTCCTGGCCTATCCCTTTGGGAGAGCAGCGGGAAGTGAGTTTCTGGGGAGCCAAGGGGACAAACATATTGCCACTCAAAGGCTCCATAATTTCTGCTGAGTTGCTGTGGCAAGACTCGTATGTTCTTTCCCTGTATGCTCCCCACGTGATCTCCCGCTCCCCTCTCCCAATCTCCCTTCTCTTTCTTTAAAAGCTATACTGAGCGATTGGATTTGCAAATGAACAGGCAAGAAAGCTATAACAAAGGGGAGCTGGAGCCTGGGCACTCAGGTATAATTACTGTAATTAACTTGAGCAGCAAGGGCACAGCCAGTGTCGGAGCATCGCTGAGAGATGCCGTGGGCAAAGAATGGGAGAGGAGTCCTTGACAGACGTGTGCAGACCTCATTCATGGCACAACAGGCCTCTGCCTTTAGGAAAGAACAAGCTCTGCCATACAGCTCCCAGGGCTGCAGCTTTTGGGCTTTGCAGCTTGAGGGCTCTGAAGCAGGGGTAAATTAGCCCTCCAGGGATGACCTCTCTCCAGACAGAATGCAACAAAATACTGGAGGAGCCAGACAGCAGCATGGCCATGAGGTTTCAAAGGCTCAGACAGAAGTGACAATTTTCACCTGATCTGGCCCCTGAAAGCACTCTACATCCATGACCAGACAAGTGCATGGCTGCAGAGCACTTTAAAGGGGGATGATCCTCTTAAAATCTGAACCCTCATTGCATGAGGGTTCAGATAAAGATGCTCCAAAATGGAGCAAGTTCATTAGCTTGTGTTTGCGCTGCCTCTCTGCTTTCAGAATAGGAGGGGGAGGGGGGAAAGGAGCAGAGGGAGTTCAGTCCGGGTTTTTTCAGTCAGCGTTGGAGGCTGGGGTGAGAGGATTGGAGTCCCCTCAAGGTGTGTGGAGGGGCTCCAATCCACCCTCCCCACCCTCTAGTACCAGCTGGGGAACTATCAGAATGAGCTCCTCTATTCCCTTTCTCCCCTCCCATTCTGAAAACAGGGCTAGGGCTGGGATGGAGGAGGGGCATTGATAGGAGAGACTGGCTGCAGGCTCACAGCCGGCAGCTTGATTCCCCAACCCCTAGGACCCAACAGTGAACTTCTGCTGGGTGATCATTGTAACTCATGGTGTTTCATGCAAAGCACCATGAGTTACAACAGGGAGCTGCTCTTCTTTTTGCCCCTTTTATCTCTGCCTCAAGTTAGAAATAACTCTCCATGCTCTTGCAAGGTAGGGTCTGAAACTGTGAGACGCTGAGTGCCTTCATCTCCCATTCAGTTGAATAGGATCTGTGGCTACTTAGCACCTGGATGGAGTAGATGCCTGTTAGAGAGATTAAGTTTAAGCTAAACCAGAAACAAACCCTTCCCCAAGTTGTGTGCTGTGCTGACTGCTCCATAAGGAGAGAATTTCTATGCTGCCTTCCTTCTCATCATGGGGATTCCA